GTAGAGTGCTGTGGCATCACAGCTCACAGCAACCTCCAACTCCTGGGCTCAAGCGATTCTCCTGCCTCTGCCTCCCAAGCAGCTGGGACCACAGGCGCCCGCCACCACGCCTGGCTATTTTTTGGTTGCAGCCATCATTGTTTGGCGGGCCTGGGCTGGATTCGAACCCATCAGCTTATGTGTACATGGCTGGCGCCTTAGCTGCTTGAGCCACAGGTGCCGAGCCAGCGTTTTCTTTTTAAGAATACCATTCATTGCATATACATTTGCTTATCTGTTCAACCACCGATGGGCACTTGGGTTACTGCTTCCCTACTTTAGCTGCTGTGACTGTTGCTGGTATGAATGTGGGGGTAGAAAGTGTATTTTAAATCCTCTGAAATACTATAGTTATTAACCAGATTAGTGACTAGACCCAGAAATGTATATTGAACAGTAAAGAATAACTTTCTAGGTGTTCAGATGAACCATTGCTGTAGGCATGATTTTTACATTTACTTTCATTTTGGAGATGGAAACATAAGAATTATCTAGATAAAACCATTTTAGTAAAATGTATCGAGTTAACAAGCACTCCTCAAGTTGTTATTCTCTCCCACTCCTGTCACTATAAAATAAAACAAATTTTAAGAAAATCCCAAACAACTGAACTTCTTTTAAGAACTCTCTACAGGCCGGGCAAGGTGACTTATTGCCTGTAATCCCAAGCACTCTGGGAGGCTGAGGCAGCCAGACTGCCTGAGCTCACAGGTTCAGACCAGCCTGAGCAAGAGCAGGACCCCCATCTCTAAAAACAGCTGGGTGCCTGTCGCTTCAGCCCAAGAGTTTGAGGTTGCTGTGAGCTGTGATGCCACAGCACTCTATTGAGGGTGACAAAGTAAGACTATCTCAAGAAAAAAAAGAAAGAAAAAGAAAAAAAGAAATCTCTACAAATACACATTGCTCTCTTTCCATGGCTAAACTGACAACGACCTTTTCCTCACTCATCGGTGACTTGGTCCATAACAACAGCAATGCCTCAAAGGCTTTCTGTGAAGTTTCTCTCCCAGGTGGTCCATTCACACTGTCTCAGGTGCCAACTATGAATCACAAATACAACCCCAAATCCAGGTTTAGAACAGATTCTTGCTCCTTATCTACAGACATGAACTCAACGAAAGATGGTTGACATTAGTATAGAATCTATTAAGATTTACATAGACTGGCTCGGCGCCTGTGGCTCAAGCGGCTAAGGCGCCAGCCACATACACCTAAGGTGGCGGGT